TTATATTTAAAACTTAGCCAATTTCTTATAGATACTTACAGTAAACTGATATATAAACACGGCTAAACACTAACATATATTCGTCCGGTGGCGGCACCGACTAGTTTCGAGCCCATCGGGGGCCCCTTCATCAGGATGAGTGGTACCCGATAGGCGCCACCGGACGAATATACGTGAGTGTTTAGCCGTGTTTATATATCAGTTTAGTATAATGTCTCACGAAAGATACTTACAGTTTTTATAATTGTCCTATTTATATTATCGGGGTCACTAAGTAAATCAATCAGAGGTCGTAAAACAACCGCAGATAATAAATCAATTAATATTATTTTTAAAGAATGACATTTCCAAGCCTCTTCAGGAGCTATCAGGTACAAAACAGCTTCGGAAATTTCATTCAATAATGCTGAAACAATTTATGATGAGTTATTCGTTTATTAATTTTATTTTTCTTAAAATATTCAAAACGAATTTTACCATTTTCTTTTTCAGCATCTATACAAAATGTATCCCTGCAGATTTGTTTATTTTCCATAGAACATTCTAAATCGAAAAATAGATCTATTAAACTTTTGTTACTAATACTTTCGGAGCTGCCGTAGAATTTGGATTTGCCAAATGACTGTGAATCTGAAAGAAGCAGTTTTGGTCTTTATACATGAATGCACTAAAACTGGTAAGACTTTCGATTATAATGTGGCACCTATACCTGGTAACCAGGACAAGTCAGTTTCACTTTTGTTTCTCCTATGTAATTTCTTTTCTTCTGGCTTTTTTGGACTTAGTTTTGAACTTCCATTTGACATTTCTTTGGCACTCAATAACTGTATATGTTTTAACCTAACCCTGGATTGTTTGAATAGCTTTAAATGTGTTGTTAATTCTTCTGGGAATCTTGTGGAAAGGAGATGAATCCAGTCTACACTTTTTACTCTGAAATGTAAGAATATATTCCATGTTTTAAATATGAAACAGACAGCTGCATAGGCTCATAATTTATAAGTTATATTACCTTATAAGCTTAAGTATAGCTACATGTACAGTCAAACCTGGATTAGCGAGAAACCTCCATAAGCAAGAAGCCCGGGTAAGAAAGAAACCTCTACAAGTGGACTCTCACTTGGCCAGGTTTGACTGTATTTGCTCATAAAGATAGTTTTTTTAGATAGTTAGCTTATGTAATTAACTATCATATGACTTCAAAGACTTTAGAAGTTAAGACAATATTATAGAATATATTAAATTACTGTATTAATGTATAAATTCACGATACATATCACATCAGCTTATTTATAATAACATTCTATTGGTTAGTCATAAAATTAAGCATATCACTTGCATTGCTGCATTACCAACTTATAATAAATAATATTACCTGTTAGCAACATTCGCTCCAGCTGTTAGCACCAACCGTTTAATGGAATGAGTGGGCAGTTCCACATCATCTGTGATTATTTCATACCAAGGGTTGACATAATCATTAATAATAATAACAATGATTTCATTCAAAAATGAATCCACTGTTTCGCTGCCTGTTATTCTATTGTCAAATTTTGCAAGAGGTTTCTGACTTTCAAAGAGATCTAGAACCTGAAAGAAACAATCAATTTTTGGATGATTAAAATTATGAATTGCCATCTAAAATTTTAAGATAAATAAAGGAATGGATGTCATTGTCTAATCATTTTGAAACATGCTCTACTTCCACCCAACAACATATACCAAAGTGTATAAATATGTATTAGAAAATTAAAAAATATCACCTTTGAAGACTGTACAGTAAAGTTAATTGGTTGCAGAGGATCATCTAAGCAGTCTATATCCACAGAAAAAACCTTTTTACTATCATAGTTCAGGTACAAAATTGTAGACGCCCTGTAAATAAATACACGTCAATATGTTTTATAAGACAATAAACAATATAATCGCGTAATAAATACAGTGTGTATATCAAATGAGTATATTTACCCCACAATAAACGAAATAATAAACGTAAGTATCGTTAAATATAATCCAAAACCAAGTAGTGCAATCGTAATAACAGAAGCTAAAGCAAACCACCCACAGATTCTTGGTACCATTTTTTATTCAGTGGGCCTCATTAATTGTCTAAAGAATATAAGTGAAAATTAATATCTAAAAAGAGAAATCACGAAATGAACAACACTGCGACAGTTTACAAAAAATAAATATGTCAAAACATGACGTGCTACGTCACTTTGACATTTGACCTTAGGGTTGCCGTACGCAAATATGTTTTAAGACGAACCAATCATCTGGTTAATAAGGCATCGAAAGGGCACAATTTTAGGGCAAACAGGAGCCTGGAATTTTGTCTAACAGTAGACAACCGTAGGCTAAAAATATTTTCGTTTCTTTCATTTACGCACTTCTAGTTTTTAACCTTTTAAACACGTTTGAACATTCCGGTAACTTTAAATCCCCTTCCTTCAGTGTATCGCTTGATCTCATCCGTGGTTCAACATATTTAATTACTCGATATTTCGGTGAATTTCTGCTTTCCTTTTGTCCCAACATACTTTTTTTATGAAGGTAACATGTAAACAATAAAACAATAATTGTAACAGTATTCAGTTTAATTGAAATACAACACGACCACAATAACTTTAATGCAGTATAATTAGTCTTTAGACTGCCTTATTTAATAATACTAATATAATTAATTTATTGTCAAACATGTCAAACAAACAACACGATCGCAACTACATCTTTTTTTTTACATTTGTATAATGACAAAAAATTCGCCATTGCCTGGGGTCAAGATTCTATTACATTTTCCTTTATATAAATAAAGGTTAACCCCTGGATGTGTGCGTTAACCAAATATTTCAGACATGTTTTGCAGACATACGTTGGAACAACATAAATTAACAACTCGCTTATTTCTTTTACAGTAAAAATGATTACATCAAAAGTGCCATAATATTTTTACCTAACAAAATGTGCTTAAAATACATGCATATAATACAATCCAATTCCTTAGCGCATTTGATTATAAGTTTAAATTATTTGTTGAAATCTATAAAGAAGTATACCGCCCGTGGAACATTCGGGAATGCCGCGGTTTAGCCAATGCGTGTGGCTACCGGAGGGTTAAATAAGCTATCCCCTATCTTGCAGATATACTATTAGTCTATTATTCAAAACAAATGTTACATCGAGCTAAAAATTTGAGACCGTAAAACCAAAATTAACTTATAATCAATGAAATTAAAAATATATATAAAACTAAATTTATTCTTTGGATAAACTCAATACTTCATTCAAAATCAAAAACTATTGTTTTTTTATGAATATAAATCGATTCCACGATCTTATAACACTCCATGTTTGGTAAAGGAGCGATAAATTTTATCAAATTACTTAATATTTTAGGAACGATGTTAAAAGGTCTTACGATTAATAGAATCAAAAAGGAGATAAAAGATTAAAAGGGTCGCCACCATATTTCCAAAGCGAAGCTAATAATTTAATGGTGAATAAGACCTCTAAGAGTGTAAATATTTTAAATTAACCTACAAAAAAAAATAGATATACCACAAATACATTCCGCAAATAATATAGCCCAAAATCTAAGAGGTTATAAACAGTATACAACTGTCAATTCTGACATTAATTATGTGAAATATGATGGCAATCTTATTCAGAGAATTGTCAAAGGTAAATTTGAAATTGTAATATCAATGAGGATAAGACACTGATCCCTATAAATGGATAGGATATTATTTGGAAACAACAGCTTTTGCTTCGTTCTGACTTAACCGCGCCCGTTGAATTTACTGAAATTTAATTCTATCTGTCTCAACACCGCTACTAACCACAACAATCAACGAAAATCAAATAGACACAAAATATCTTAGCTTATAGCCTGTCCATATATAGAGGTCAGTGGAATAATATTCTATCACTTATTTAAAAAAATTCTCAATAAGCTTTATGATAATAAATTCATTTCTTCACAAATGGTATCTAGATATTGCTATTCAGTTTCGTAACCCTTATTTTCGTTTAAATAATACTCGTGGCACTGGAATATTTAAATAACTTAATTGACTAATCATACATTCAAAAGAATAAAAATATACTTAACACTTTCAATGCTACGCTTTTCACATATGGGCACTGAACGTGTTAAAACATTTATTCCGAAATTATTCTAATGTACACACAGACGGTTGTTTATGTTACATTTTCTCACGTAATACTTATAAATGTAACAAGTCAGATCTAAGGTGCCGCGCAAAATTACTGTCCGCAAGTTTCATAGATTCAAACGATGGCACTATTATAAAGAATCTATTCATAAAATTGGAGTGTTTGTGTAATACCAAAAATCGAGAACTTGACTTATTTGCGTTGTCTATTATGAAAATTAAGTGTTTTATTCTGTCCGCGTATGTTTCTGGTAATCTCAGAAACAGCTGGAACGATTTTGACTGGACTTGGACTGGAAAGTAGCTGATGTATGCATGAGTGACGTAGGCAATTGTATACGTCGTTGACGATGTTGCGGGCACAAGCCAGTCTATTCTTAAATTTGAATTGCAAACTGGATAGCAGTAATATTAAAATATTTTTCTGCACACTAGCACACAATATAGTGTCATAATCAACAACGTACAGATCGTCCGCTATAACACGACCTACGTCCAATGACGTCACACTTTAAAGTTACGAGAATGATAAAATGTATCAACTTGAGGACAGTTAATTATTTCGGCATTGCTTGTTTGTAATACATTGAAACATAATAACTAAAAGCACTGGCAGTTACAGAGCTGATAGAAATTAATTTGAGACGACAAGTGCGAGAAAATTTTGCTAAAAAAACAAAGATAAAAACTAAACTTTCCATATCACTAATAAAATGTTAAATCAAAGAAATTGATTACATTTTATTACCAATTTCTTTAATAGACCAACAAAAATTACTTGTTTTTATTTTTTTAAATATCTGTAAATCCAAAACAAATTTATATCACAAATAAACGAAATAGACAATTACTTTTTTTTAATCATAACGTAATTTGGTCAAGCATTTGTATATAATCAGTTAAGTCATGTTACATGTATCGTTCGAAAATTTTAAAATAAATAACTTAATAGAAACACCGTAAGATAACATAAAATAAATATAAATAGCACAAAGCTCTTTGAAAGCACCAGAAATATAAAGTTTATCACTAAAAGGAGTTTAGACAGACTAAACCTAAAAGATATAAATAAAAGTGTATTATATGCTATAAATTATCTTATATATCAATCAATACATATGTTCTCTTAAACTAAGTGTTTATATAATACATTGTCTCTATATATTACAACATACTCAACAAGAATATCAACAATGGACACCATAACTATGTATTAATAGAGATATATATGTTTAGTTATATATTTAATTTTATTAACCAATTAGGATTTATAATTTAATGAGTTTTATCACAATGAAAGTGCGGACATAACATAAAAAAGGGTCTTGACAGACGGACAACAAAGTGAATAAGGGTTCCGTTTTTTTTCCTATGAGATACGGAATCCTAAAAAAAATCAAAACATATATAAAAAGGGCTGCAACACTAAAGCATGTTCGCCTGGTGGATACACCGACACATCACCCTTAAGGGCCTCCATGTGCTCGAAACTAGTCAGTACCAACACCGGACGAATATACGGAGTGTTTTAGACGTTATTAGGGTTCCGTACTTAGAAAAGAAAAGAACGGAACCATTATAGGATCACTTTGCCAGCCGTCCGCCTGTCAAGACACTCTAGTTAGTAAGTTAATGATAAAGTCTCTTTTTTTTCTTTTTCTATTATTTAACATTTAAAAATAATAAATTTATTGCCAAGTTATTTCGTATTTGAAATGCAAAATATTTCTATGATTCTATTGTATATTATAAACGCATGTTTTCATTGTGAATACCACTCATTGTTATATTCGTGAAGGTTGTAATATTAACATATTGTGTTATATATTAATTATAAATGCAATAAATATAACTGAAGATTGTTGGACGTGTTAAGCGGCTAGCTTGATTCTACAAGATCTCGACTGCAAAGTTAATACATATTGTCGTCTCTATTTTGTCAAAGATAATGTAAGGGATGACAATATGTTGAAACTTCAATGCAGCGAATTTCTAGGGTTATATCTCAATTGAACACCATTGAAGCAGATCTTGAACCAACAGTAAAATCTTTGTATTGAGAGAATACGCATAACTGAAAAGAGAAAACATTTAATTTAAATAACTAGCTTTCGTTCGCGACTTTGTCCGCGCGTGAAAAAAAAATTATGTAGGATTAGCCTATGATATATTCTTCCAGCTTCCAGACATTTTTTTAAATATATACCAAATTTCATCCAAATCAATGAAGTCGATCTAAAGATTCTTCCTAAGAACCATCCATATCAACTTCCCATTTATAATAATAGGATTCGTAAGATTGTAAATAGAAATTTCTGTATGAATGGATATTTCATAGCTGGTAACTCGAAATAGCTACAGAGATTTAGACAAATTACACATAGATTACTGTCTGGATTAGCACATAAGTTACCTACAATTTTTTTTATTCGTACAGACGAAGCCTAATTAAACATAATAGTTAAAATAACTAAGCACATTTATAACAGTTGTATAACACTTTAACTGATATTACCCAGTGTATATGCCTAATGGCATGATCAACGCGTGTACAAAAACAATAAAGATGACGCAGCGCTTATATATAAAAAATATCTTCGGAACATGATCGATTTATACTGCATTAAACGTCATCAATACCTTAACAAAGATACCAATAATCGATAATATCTTAAGTAACGTAATCTAACGATATCCAAAAGCAATCATATTAATATTATAAATGCGAATGTTTGAATTGATGTTTGTAGAAGGTAGAAGGTACCTCCAGAACAGCTGCATGGCACATATAGAACATAGTCTGGAGGAACACATATGCTACTCCTTAATTTTTGTCTTAACTCGGCACGGACGGAGTCGCGGGCGACAGCTAGTTATAATTTTTTTTTAAAGTAGTAATTATTATACGATAGACGCCTTTTTCTATTTATTTACACTTTTGCATTTTGTTCTTTTCATTTCCAATATAAGTAAATAAAGCTAAAATTACAATATATAAATATCTTCAATGTTCAAGTAAAAGATAAATCTGTCACCACTTGCCCTGAACATATGGGTCGTATCACCACAGATAAGGTAGTAGTTGACCTTTTATTTCTTATCTATGTACTCCAAATAATTATCTTTATTCTCATTAGCTATTTTTATCAATTAATTAGCACAAATAAACTTAATTTATAACATGGACACAATGTAGCAATATCATGTGTAGGTTATTAAATAAAAGGTTATTAAATAAATTAATAAATATCGGCTTTATGTCTTAGATACAAATATTGAAATTAAAAAAAAACTAATGTAAAACTTTCCCCGTAACTCGTTTACTTAGTTGTTATCAAGACAGCTTATCATATAAATTAAATATTTGTTGATCTACATACATTTTGTCTCATACAAAAAAGGCATTAATTAATTTATCAATCATCAAAAGAAATCAAGAGGAAATTCATTGTCCAAATTCAAAAAAAATTTTTTGCAACTGTTCAAATAGAATATAGAATTAGTAATATTTCTAAATTACAGAAAGACTATCTGTCGCCGCGACAGCGTCCGCGAGGAGATAAAAAAAATAATTAATTAGAAGCTTATGTATTTTTCCAGAGTAAGTTCTACATATATGCCAAATTTAAGCAAAATCCGTTGAGCCATTCCGGAGATACCTTCAAACAAACATTCATCCATCCAAGCTTTCGCATTCATAATATTAATAAGATTTACCAATCATTATTTTTTAATACTATCCACTTATTCAGTTGTTTTTTTTCACAAATGGCAAAAAATAAACAGAAATACATCAGTATCTTACCTTATCTTTTAGCTGTTGACACATATGTAATGCTGCCGTTAACATAAACAGAACATCGCTCAACCAGGGCACAGCACAATCCGCCTGACACGAGTCTATACGCATTGTACCATGTACAGAACTCAACTGGTACGCTACAAATATCAGCTTATGGGACTGTATGTAGAATGATATTGCTAAATCTTCAGGCAGATTCGGGGATAATGCTTTCTGAAAATCCACAAATAAATTATAGAAAATGAAATCTACCATAGTTGTACCTGGATAAGGATGGAGAAACCATATTTTTTTTTTATTTAGAGGTTCTCGGTTATACTATTTTCTCAGTTTTGGAGGTAGTCTGTCTCGGCCAGCTTAAAGAGGTTTCTTGCTATCTTTTATCTAGGTTGGATTGTACAAAGATGTATTATTTATGTTGAGTTATAATTATATCTTACCATATTTCTACTCTTCATAAGCTCATCTATCGTTTTCTTCTTAGGTAAAACTAAGGCAGTCCTAGCCCTCTGTAGGGAACCAAGAAGGCATTGTATAATATGTAAGACCTCCTCTGAAGACCTAAAATACAAATAGACATTAGCGCTAATCAAAATAAATTACTTATTTTTCTCACATAAGTAGCAAACCTCCGATGCGGAACCTGTACATGAGAAGCTGAACACTACTGTAGCCTACTTTAACACATAGATTATACTATATTTGTACCCTTTTCCTCGCGCGGTAATGTCAATCTACTCTGGCCCCAGCTACAACTCCGCGATATTTGCTTCCGCACATGCTTATATGAGTCAATAAAAACAAAACTACATTTTTGTCATAGAATAGACATCGATTTTTTAGAAAAAAAATCCTCTTCTAATCCACTTGTCAATCTTCTCTTTAATGTAGCAGAATTATTTTTTTTACAAATTTTATAAAAAAACAGCATTCAATGTAATTTAGAGTATTGGGAATAAGCCCCTTTTACTATGGTATGCAATCATATGTTTTATTTCCTTTGAAGGAATCACAAAATGACACTGGCGAGTATTCACAGTCCCGTGATTAGCTGCTAACCAGAAATAGATACTTGACTATCAAATTTCTATATTCATACATTCATATCTGGATCATAGTAATAAGATTATCAATATCTTTAACTAATAAAGCTTAGATATAATTGGCAATTATATTTATCTTATCAACTAAATTTACTTCATAAATACCTGAACACGTAGTGTTTATCAACATTGTCAATGTAACCTATAGCCTGCTGCAAATGGTTTGCTGCATCTTGTATCTGTTGTAGCTTCCAGGGCCCATCTTGGTTGATTGAAGTGCGACATATAGAATGCATTTGCCTTAAAACTTTAAAACTGATATCCTAGAAATAGAGTATTACAGATATTTAAAACATATACTTTTAAGACTCACCAACAATCTTGATATGTTTCACAACCCAGAGGTTGAAAAGCAATCATCGGTTTAAGCACCTGGACTTTGACTTCCACCTTTAGACTTGCACGCAAACATATCAAGACATTTCTAATGGTCAACATTTAAAAATAATACATTTGGTTAAGGAAGCATACAATGCTATGACTGATCATAAGATAAAAATACTTAATAAACATGAAACAGAAACAAACAACATATTCATTATTGCTACATATTATTTAAAAACATCATAATTAACTGGTTTGAAAATTAAACCTTTCATACTCACTGCATGACTAATGCTATCACCAGTTAAGGTGACAATACATTTAAGCTGCTCCGGTTGTGAAGTAAGAATGAATTTATCTTGCTTTTGTCCTTCATTCCCATATAAAGGCACAGGAAACCTGTGAGCACATTCCTATGAAGAAAAATAATTATATATAGTATAAATAATTAAATAAACACATTAATCTCAAATCCCTGTTGGTGCTCTTTCCATTTGTATAATTATTTTATGCATAATTTATTTTCTAGTTTTCAAGGTAAATAAAACATTCAGAATTAACACACTATTGTTTGGTAATGTACTAACTATAAAAAAATCAAACATTTATATAAATATTATTGCAACAAAAACACTGGTACTCTAGGGAGACGTTCTCAATGATAACTTACTATCAATAACTTCGGCCAAATACTTTCAAATTCTAAAGGCACTAAGCATCCACTTTATATAAATAGCATGATCACGTACAATAATGTGTAAAATGATTTTACTTACGACTAATACTGAATGGAGCTGATGTAATATAGAGTGTACTTCTTCACGTAGCACCCATTCAAATTCTTCTTTCTAAAATAAATTATATATTTCATTAAAACAATAAAGCATTCTTCAAATTTAAAACGTATTGAACATCAATTATAATTATTGTATTATACCAGATTAGCAGCCTCTTCTTTTTCGTTGTCATTCATTTCTATAAGATTTTATATTAATAATTTCCGTAATTCTTCAAATTTTTACTTTATTACATTGACAGACTGACAGCTCATCCAAATGAACTGCACACGGCACAGAGTATGTAAGAGAAAGAGGACCAAACAGATTATAAATAAGAGCACAGCCGAACTGGGCGTCCCGTGGCCGTCACTGCCACTTCTTTCCACTTTCCAGTTTCATAATTCCAGTCACATCAAACGTCACTGTAACGTAAAATCGAAACATCGATACCTAGAATCGATAAATGCTTGTAATTATTAAAGTCAACACAATAACGGCTGTATTTTATTACAAACCAAAAGTTAAATTAAGTAATAAGTTCAGTCAGGTCAGTGGGATAAATATAAAACTTTCTTCACCCTCAAAATAATTCTGGTCGATACGAAGTTTTGAAAAATGAAATGTAATAAATGACAATTCTATCAATTACCGTTTGTGCGAAACCGAAAATAATTTAATAACTTATGAAAATGGTTTTTCCGAAGAAACTTGAGGCTTTTTACACAAAATTAGAATTATCTTTACGTGAAAAGGGACTCATTGCAGGGTACAATTATAACTTTAAAACATAACCTACATAAACATACCTACATTCCTAACATACTGTGCAAAGTCTAATTTTTACTTGTTACATTCAAAGTGCCTTGATATTGAACATAAACATTATATTTTTCTTTACTCGATACCTAATTCAATTATATATTTTTTTTTAGAAAATCAGGACGACATATGAAGTTTCCTTATACATTTTCTGCAAAAATAGCACAGTTTCCGATATTTTTCTACATGAAAAATAACATTATTTGGATGTATTATCCGCTAGGGATAGCAGTTGGTTTGTATTTAATTTCGAACATTCATGAAATGGCAAATTCTGAAGAAAACCAAAGAAGTTGGGCTGAAACTCAAAGAAAAATGGCAGAAAAAGAAAAACACCATTAATTGAATTGTGTAATATTTGCCTTAATGTGTTTGTTTCTAATCGAAGGACTGTTTTCTAAAACAAGAATTTTTCCTTGTCTCAGTACTTTGAATAAACTCTAATTTGCTTTTGAAACTTGTTTTTTTCTTTCTTTGTTTCATTAAATAAACTTTCTTGTGACACATTGTAAATATATGAATTACTAAACGTATAGCCGTAAATATATCAGTTTTAAAATGCAATGAGAAATTATTACAATTGATTCTGTACTGCTCACCAGCTCGTTTGTTTTTATTTGTTATTCGAGTTTTTAAAACAGTTTCAAGACTCATAATATTGGACAATAAGGGCAATACCAACGTCATAGTTTTTAATTTTTGCAAGACTACGATTTAATGTCAAACTGATGTCGTCAGAGGTCGGAGTCATGTCATTGTCAAATTTTAATCAAATCTCTTCAGTGTTGTTTTCTGTGATTGTTTTTATTAATTTGGTAGATTAATTTATACGGCTATGCAGAAGTCATAATCATACGGGGATGAATATCTTTGTGTGCAATTCATATTTTAGAAACTTGTAATTATGTGGGTTAAACCGCAAGAAGTCTTCATAAAAACTGCGCTGTGGTAATTTATTTACCTGACAATATTTGCTTATCTTTTGTCTTGAATACGATAATGCTAATTTATACTTTAGACTATAATTATTATTTCCATGAATATACAGGGACTGTGATGAGACAACACTATATTTTGTTCTTCAAAGAAGAAAGGGCCATGGCAAATCAAAAGGACTGTCTTCACTTCTAGTAGGCACACTTGATAGTGTCTGGGATACAAAACCTGCCCCTTATAGGATATTACATCAGACACCTAATTCTGAAATATATTATGGTGATTAAAGATTACTATTTTTAAAGTTTTTAAATAACTTCAAAGAGTTGATATAAGACTTACTTTCTTTGCTTTAGTTATAGCCACAGCCTTGACAGAGAAAGAAATCCGACAAGACTGGCAATGGTTGTTTGACAATGTTAGCCCTACCTTGCATTCCTTTGATACTGAAGAAGAGATTACAGAATTTGTCTGCTGTAAAATTAACTCTATTATTGCTACTGAACAGGAGAATTTAACAGAAGGTAATGTGAAATGAGATATTTGTCGAATTAAGTATACTTTAAAAAGTATAAATATAGACATATTAATAGGATCTGATAAATTTGTTCTGTGTTAATTTTGTATATAGATTTTGGTTCTGCATTTCTGATGTTGTCCTCAACTCCCTTAATTTTATTTTTTATTTACACAAGAATCCCGTCAACAATAAACAACAAAAAAGAATTAGTGATATTGTTCCTTTCATTCATTCAATGACCAAGAGAAATAGAGAATATTTTTTTATATAATCTTATTTAATATTGCATATAAATGAATCTGTATTATAATATTTTTTCTATTCCTTAATAGATGAAGATACATACAAAAATGTTGATTATGAATTTCACCAAAGATTTGCAATGCCAAAAGATGAAAAACTGGTGTGTTACTATTCTTGCAGGTATGTATTATAAAAAGGAAATATGAAGGTGACTTAATTACTGCAGAATTTTATAAAAAAAAGTATTAAATTATTTTATTAAAAAGTAGCCTATAATATGCCTGGGCCGTCAACTATCTTCCCATCTAAGTCAGAATCCATCCAGGCATTCCAGAGATTACAAGAATAAATCCCGACATTGTTTAATTATGTAACTTCATAATAAAATTTAACATTTACCCAATTTTAACACATTACATCAATTATTTCTGTATTATAACTAAATGTTTGTTAATGTCAGCAATATGTATTATTTTCCTTAACAGCTATTGGAAAGGTAAAATGCCTCGACAAGGATGGTTGTATTTGTCAGTACACTATATGTGCTTTTATTCATATATATTTGGAAAGAAGACAACTCTTAAGATCAGATGGGCGGATGTCACTGAACTTGCAAAGACCAATAGCATATTGTTTCCGGATTCAATCAAAATAGTAACAAGAGATGGGGAGCATTATTTCACAATGTTTTTGAAGAAAGCTGAAACTTTTGCATTAATGCAACAACTAGCTAACATAGCTATGAAACAGTAAGTGTAGACATAACTTTTTTAATATTGATCATGTGTGAAAATTAAATTAACAACAAACATATCTGTATTACTGTTTTCAAATATCTTGGCATCCCAATCTCATTCTCATGCTGTGCCCCGTAACACCTAAATTGTGTTCTTAGCGGAGCCTTGCGCAAAGTTCAGAGCCGCATAGATACCTAAAAACTAACATAGTAAAGAATGTTCTTAGTGTAATTATTATTACTACTTTTTTAATAGTGATTATTAGAAATGTATTATGCAAGTATGTACTTAATAAATCATTTTTTCCATAATAATTTGATTACTTTTATGTCTTTATATGTTACATATAATTGTGTAAACAATTAGTTTATGACTTGAGTGCACTTTCTTATCAATTGCTTTTATGTGTTCTAACTATGCTAAAGGTTTTATCAAACTAAATTTTTTGGTATATTTTATTTTAAAATTACTCCCATAATTTTTTGTAATTTCTCGATTTATATTTATGTTTCAAAATAAAAAATAGTTACAATTTATCTGTCTTACTTATGTCTTAAATTTTTTAAGGTTAATCGACGATAAATCTGGCAGCTTTAACATGGATAAAGATTTACTCACAAAGTTAAGTAAGAATGTACCAAAGAAGCCGTCATTCCTCAAGCGAGATTTGGACGCTAGGAAGCAATCGAATCTGTACACACTACGTTTTCGATTACCGCATACAGAGAAACTTGATGGTAGTGAAGAATGTACATTGTGGACACCATATAATAAAAGATACAATTGGGGCAGATTGTATCTCTCGCAGAATTTTATATGCTTCGATAGTAGGGTAAGTGATACTGTTATCTGTCACCAAAAGTAAATTAGATTTTTTATTTATCATATTGTAACATTGATTTCTAGGTTTAATAATTTATTTTAAAAAATAATACAGTAAAATACTGGTTATAAATACATTGACGGAATCTGCAATATTCAAAAGGAATAACTGAATTACAATAGTAATATTGTATTAAAAGTGTTATGATGGGTTATGTATTATATAAGGATTCTTAGATATTTTAAAACATATTTTATGTGCTTATTGTTTAAATTTGCAATAACAATACAAAGCATAATGTTCTTGACACATATATTGTCGTGCGATGTCCATTTGCTTTATGAGTCACGGTGAGGCAGGCGCGTGCTGTGCGCTCTGTACTGCTCATTACTCTATTGTTATCATGACTTATTGACGACTTACAGCATTCAATTACTCTACCTTCATATGCTTGACCTCACTTAGTCCACAGTGCGATTTATACGGCAATTTGTGAGATACAACTTGTACTTTGTAGTACCAGAGAGAAATGTTTTTGGCCAAATAATGCAAACATTATTTAACCGTGGGTTTCTGAGACTGAAATCTCTTTATTCGAATCTTAAAACATTTTTTTTTGTGAAAGATGATGACAGGGATGACGATATGATTAAGGTCTCAGAAACCGGTAATACAAGACTACTAAATTGCCTAAAGAAAAATATATCAGCAACCTTACTCTAATTTCTATTAAAATTTTTGGTTTCTCTTATCTGTCGTTATAGTTTTTATCTTATGTGTTAGTATTGTTTACTGTTTTAAAAATATTACCCATTTTTGCATTTTGACTCCTTTATTTTGTTGTAAAATAACATAATGCCCTCGGGCATCAACCCTACTGTTTAGCTAGTGACATAAAAGTAATAATTCTCCAGGTGAGACATCTGGTGAGGTTGACAATACCACTGCGCAATGTTCACCAAGTTGAGCGCGCGGATTCAGGAGGCGCGGGTAGCTCTGACTCCGGCAGTATCCTCATCACGACCGCGCACCACACCAGCTTTCTCTTCGGCAATATATCTGACAGAGACTTCCTCGTACACAAGATATCTGAACTGCTCGCTAAATTGCCCAAGTAAGTTGGTTATTCACGAGATAGTTATTCTAGTAATGGTGAGTTTCTGAGACCAAAATCTCTGTATGAAACATATCGAATCAGAGATAACAGTATGTTCAAACATATTTTGGTTTCAGAAACCCACGGTTTCTTGTCTAATGCATGGTGAATGAACCTTATTTATGGGAATTTAA